AGATTACTTATAAAGAGCTTGCATCCAAAATAATAATAATAATAATAATTCAAAAATAATTAAATAAAAGTTATAAAAATATATAATTTATTAATATGTTATTTTATCTTTTTATTTTTTTATTCACTTTTTATAAAAATAATACAAATTCATTTTATATATATATTTTTTAAAACTTTATATATTTTTGAACTCATAATTTCTTAGAAATATTGATTATATAATTTTGTTGTTTTTTAAATTAATATAAAAATTTTTTTTTGATTTTTTATTATTAAAAAAAAAATAATAATAATTGTTAATAAATAAAGTATTCATTTATTAAAGAAGTAAAATATTGTTTCTTGAATTTAATTTAAAGCATATGAATAAGAATTTTGTTTTGTTTAATTCAAACTAAATAATCAGCTAATTGTTATATGAAAGCACAAATTACAGTATTGAGGAAATTTAGATTCTGCAATTGATTTCAAACCGAAGGATAAGCGCCAATTACATGATTCCTTTTTCAACGCCACGCATTTCATGGAATGGGAGGAAGGAATTTACAATAAAATTGTCTTGTGTCAAAAAAAAAATGGCGTGATATAATTTTTTTTTTATGAATCAAGATTATCCGATTACTGATTTGTACAATATTTAGCGGTTAAAATTAACATGAAACGTAAAACGCTTGGAAGTTTATAAACCTTTAAGTGGACAGATTTCGACATCATAAATTCCAAATTGAAACAACGTCTCGGAACAAATAATGTGACAGTATTTGAGCAGTAGCCAATCATTTGCTTTCCAGGATAGATACATGCGAGCGACTCACAGTTCAGCTCTTCACTCGTAGCCGCCTCCCTCCAATCGCGGTCTATCGTTGACGGCGAAAGTAAAGAAAAAAAAAATCCTCCCAAAAAAATAATTAAAAAAAAAAAAAAAACTTTCCCACTGGATATTCACTCTTTCCGTAACGACTCTACTCGTCTATGAAAGAACCTTTCGTTGCCATTGACATAATTCCTACTACACCTGTTCTCACTCTGCCTAGTAATGTTACGGCTAAGCACCCAGTAACAGGTGTACTAAGAATTTCTCTTTCGAAGCCAGTAAAAGTCAAGTCAATATTTATCACTTTTCTTGGAAAATGCGTGGTGAATTATAACAACGAAACGGCGACTCCAAAGACTTGGCTGTCAAAAAAAACTGGTGACGCAACTAATAATCATAGTCTTCAAATATTTGACTCGCCTCGGACACGAAATAGTATGGTCATAATAAAGCAAACGATATCTTTACTTGAGGGTGGCAAGAAACGCGAGCTCACGAAAGGTGATAACGAGTATCCATTCTCCTTTGATCTGCCGACCGACCTACCTCCTTCAGTTACGGACTCGCATGGTTACGTCAAGTACAAGTTGACCGCTGTAGTTCTACCCTCATCTCTGTTGGGAAAACTGGCGCAGGAGAAAGTAAATTACGTGCTGCAAATAATTCGTCCTCGATTGATGCTCAATGGATCAAAAAGATATTCCGGTATGCTCGAAGAAAAGATCAAGTATGATCTTGAAGTTCCTAAAATGATTGTATTGTCTACGAATAAAACATTGGATGGCACGAATACAGGTGAAATAGTCATTAATGCAAGGCTTACGGTTATGAGAGAAATTGCGAGAATAAAGACAGTTAGTTTAGAAGTATCACAAACCTCCAAATACCTGTGCGTATTTGTTCAATTCATTTATGCAACTCCATTAAGATAAACTCCACGGATTTTATACTAAATGCATATTATCTTAATTATAGGATAATTTCATCCAATAAAGTCATAGAAAGATCGTTTACAACATATACAAAGCCAGCACTCTTAATTGATTTCACCGCTGCTCTCCCTTCCATCATGCAAGATCATTACTTGACCTTAGCACTTCCATTTATATTGATTTCTGAACTTTCGCCGGACATTTCCTCTCCCTACCTCGAGATCACACATAATTTCCGCATCACCATAACTTTTGTGAACACCAGCGTAAGTCCATGTTTTTTGAACCCACCGGTCATCGTGGGCTACGTTTTAGCGGATAAGCGAATGAACAGAAGTGCTAGTATGAGTGAAGGGTCCGTCATGACGCGTCAGGGTATATTCAAGGAACTTTGTCGACGAGGCTCCGAAGGATGGGTATTCTCGAATCAGCTTCAAAATGGCCGTCCCTCCTCCTCCTCTCAAGATAGTTCGGGGTCGTTTGATCTTGTATCTCGTGTTTCCAGCCTCTCAAGTCTCACCACCTTGAACACTAGCGTCCTTAGTTCGGTGTTTGAAGAGAAGGAAGGTTACGCGGCAACTGAGCCATGATGTCATAATATCTCGAACGGAACACTGGGAGGAGTGATTTATAATGAGTGTTTGTCGTCAATTCACGTATCTTCACGAATTAATCAATTCATCAAATTACTTCATACACATACACACATATATATACAGTATATACATATTCATAAGTTTCTTCTTCATATTTTGTTGTGATAGATGTAACGCAATTTCAAGAATTTATGACAGCCCTCACCCAAGGGTTGGGACAATTATAAGCTTCCACACCACAGCAACTACAGCAACAGCAAGGCGCTGCTGCCCCCAAAATCTCCGTCAGGATTCCCACATATAAGGAAGCCCCAGAGGAGAATGTTATCACTTGGATGCTACAATGCCTTAATATTTTTATGGCGCAAGGTATCGCAGAGCAACAAATGCACATACAGTATGCTGCCACCAGATTAGAAGGTGCCGCTCTGCACTGGTATCTCAATAAAGTACAGGAGGTCCAGGCTGCCAACTGAGTCAATGTCTTTGATAATTGGAACAATTTTGCTCGCGACCTTCGTACTGCCTTCCAGTCGCTGAACCACCAATAGTATCTATGCCATCAACTAAAAAGGCTTCGCCAGACTGGCTCTGTGCAAGAGTATGGCATGACTTTTCAAAATATCTTGAGTCAAATTGATAATATGGCTGAGACTGATAAAATTACATATTTCATGGAGGGATTGAAACCTGTCACACATATGGAAGTGAGCTACCGCTCTTCCAATTCTTTTGAAGAAGCCTGGACACAGGCCATGAGATATGACATCGCTATGTATGGCTTTGGAAAGCCAGCGCCATGAAGGAATGAATAGAGAAACTAACAAAATTTTAATAATAGGAATCAGTCATTACAGAATCATCGTTCGTACCAAACAGCTGCCTACACATCTCCAATTGACACCCGACAGACCACTCCCATGGAGTTGGACCAGCTGGATGAACAGAAAAAAAGATATATGATGCAGAAAGAACTCTGCTTTAAATGTGGAAAATCAGGGCACGTTACATGAAAATGCCCTCAGAGACCAGCCAAAAATTTTCATATAAAAATAGAGAAACCATCGTCTTCTTCCACCGCTGAATTTATCAAACTAGAAGAGAACCGAGAACAGTTGTTGCGGTTCAATAGAAAGATTAATGAAAAACCTGCTTGAATCCTCCTAGACAGTGGAGCCTCCAGAAATTTTGTTAATAAAAAGTTCGTCGAGAAATACCATTTGTCACAGAGTGCTATATCTAACCCACTCACCGTAGAACTGACTGATAGCCGAAAGAAGGAAGTAAGAAAAGAACTGAATATCAAAAAGCTGGAGTTAGATACATACAAAGTATCTGGTATCACCGCACAAGTTCTGGACCTGCTGCGATATAATGCTATATTAGGAAAACCATGGTTGTACTTCGCGAATCCCAACATCAATTGGAGAAGTAACACCCTTACTTTCCAGTATGGATAGTGCACCATCAAAGTCAATGCTAATGCCCAGAAAACTGATATCACCTCTGAATATTCTGCAATCTATATCTCTCGCCACCAATTAGCTGCCACTCTAAAAACAGCTGAATTGTTTGCCATTTGTTCTACCAATCTTCTTGAACTGCTAAATAATATGAATAAAGAGGGCAAAGCTCTCATTCATGAATTTGAGGATGTATTTCCCACTGAACTTTCTAATAACCTACCACCGCCATGAAACATTGATCATGCTATAGAGCTAATTAATGGGTCTAAATCTCCATCAAAACCCACTTACAGATTGTCATATGTAGAGATGAATGAATTAAAGAAACAACTTGCCAAGCTTATGACCAAGGGAATTATCAGACCAAGCATCTCTCCATTTGGTGCTCCCATGTTATTCGTGCATAAGAAGGAAGAAACCCTTAGACTCTGTGTAGACTATAGGGCTCTGAATAAGATTATCATTAAGAACCGATATCCTCTGCCAAGGATAGATAAACTTATGGACCGTCTAATTGGCTCCAAGTATTTTTCAAAGATTGATCTTTATTCCGAGTATCATCAAATCCGTATCAAGAATTCTGATATCCACAAGACTGCCTTCTGCACAAAATATGGACATTATAAATTTTTTGTCCTCCCTTTTGATCTAACGAATGCTCCTGCCACTTTTATGACCCTGATAAATGACATTTTCTGTGACTATCTGGATAAGTTTGTCATTGTCTATCTGAATGATATATTGATCTATAGCCAAACAAAAGAGGAACACCTCCAACATGTTCGTGTTGTTCTTTCTACCCTCAGGAAGCATAAGTTATATGCTAAAGTCAAGAAATGTGAATTGGTCAAAGAACAAGTGGAATATGTAGGTCACTTCATATCCAAAGAAGGAGTTGCAGTTGACCCACAAAAAGTGAAAACCATCAAAAATTGGCCTGCTTCAACTAATGTATAAGAGGTCCGATTATTCCTGGGATTAGCTAGCTATTACTGAAAGTTTGTAAAAAAATGATTATTCATCGCGCCCCACTAACCGATCTTCTACATAAGGATGATGATTTTGTTTGGACAAAAGAAGCCCAGAATACCTTTGAAGCATTAGAAGAGAAACTTATTACCACTCCGATCCTCCTCCTCCCTGATCCTGCCAAACCCTTAATAGTAACCACTGATGCCTTTGACTATGCTATTGGAGCTGTACTTGCGCAAGACTAAGGAAAAGGTGAACAACCCGTAGCATATGAATCCAGAAAGTTATCTCCAGCGGAATAGAATTATGCTATACATGAAAAAGAATTGTTGGCTATTATTCATGCCATCAGAACATGGGCATGTATCTTGAAGGACAAAAGTTTACCGTAGTGACAGATCACGCATCCTTGGAGTATATTAGAACCCAGTCCAACTTGTCAAGAAGACAAGCCCGATGGTTAGAAACCTTGCA